GTTCAGCCAAGTCTATGGGTGGAGTCGGGGATTGATGGCAGGTTCACAGTTGAGACTGTGGGAAGTTCCATAGATGGCTTGGAAGAGTCATAGCTGCTGTATCTGTCTTTTGGTGACATTTGGTGACACTCAGACTTTGATAAAAATTAAAAGTCATACAGCCATGGATATGTAGTAAGACCCTGTCTCCAAAAAACCAAATGCAAATAAAATTCAGATTCTCTAATTTGTTAATTAATTAACAAATTAATTTGTTAATTTGTTAATCTTGTGCAAGATTCTCTAATTTGTTAAATGTGCTTAAAAAAAAACCCAAAGTTTCTAGGTTACCTTGCACCAAACATCTAGTGTTTTCCAAGGTTGGCTTCAGCCCATCCGTTTAAGGGCCCACATTAACATTGGTACTGTGAACTCTTGCTTCATTGACATTGACTGTCATCTCTGTGCTCATTTACTGAATTTGAAGGACACCTGATGATAATGACCTGGGACTTTGAGTTCCAATGTCTTTTTAAATTTGCCGCACTGTTTGCTTTGGAAGTGGAAGCATCTCAGATACCACATCTACAGGCAAACAGCATCTTTTGACTAATAAACATGCCTTTTGACTAATAAATACCTATCAAGACTCAAGTGCTTCTTTGGTAAAATTCTGCCTGGCCAGACTCTTCCAGAACTTTCAGCACTCCCTTGACTCCAAGACCTGCTCACTCCCCCCTTGTGGGCCCAGGGCTGAGATTCTTACAATCTGTGGACCTATGCAACTCCTCTCTGCCCATGCGAATTATACACACAATGTACCCTAATCACAGCTGCCCTGAGGGAGTTGTGTGCCATGTAGCACATTTGTATCTCACACTATCAGTCAGGAGCTCAGCTTTCCCTCTGAGACACTGGGCTAAGCCTAAGTTGGTGACCAGTTGAGCCTTGAGCTCAGAGTTCCCAGCTCTTCGCATGCAGTTCATGTAGCATAAGACACTGAGCCAACTGGATTGATGTACAGCAAAGTCAATCCTGTGTCATACTGTCTATTCCTGTCATTTTGTTTTATGGTGCAGGAAGTTGAAGCTGTACCTTCCCACATGCTCTCCCACTATGTTCTATCCTAAGCCTTCTTTTCCACCCTTGGTTTATTATTATTATTGTTATTATTATTATTATTTCATGTGTGTATATCTTTGTGTATATATGTTGATTGAATATGCAGGTTCTCATAGAAGCAGAAGAAGGCATTGGATCTTCTGCAGATGGAGTTGGAGAGTTGTGAGCCTCCTGCGTGCTGAGAACCAACTCTCCTCCTCTAGAGCAGCAATCTCTCTGACCCCATTTCTAATTAGTTACTTCTGTATATTTACTTTAGGGACAGTGTCTTAGTTGGGGTTTCTACTGCTGTAAACAGATAACAGGACCACAGCAACACCTGTCAGGGAAAATCATTGAATTGGGCTGCCTTATGTTTTCAGAGGTTTAGTCTGTTATCGTCACGGTGCAACATGGAGGCATGCAGCAGACACAGTGCTGGAGAAGTAGCCGAGTGTCCTACGTGTTGGCTTGCAGGCAACAGGAAGTGGTATGAAATGCTAGGCTGTATCTTGAGCACATATGAGTCTTCAAAGCCCACCGCCACAGGGACACACTTCCGCCAACACAGCCACACCTACTTAATAGTGCCACTCCCTTTTGGGGTCATTTTCTTTCAAACTAAATCATTCAGAGTTTCCCTCTGTATTCCTAGGTGGCCTGGAACTCTTTCTACAGATCAGATGGCCTTGATTGACCCCTTCTGCTTCTGCTGGTCATGGGCTGAGGTGACAGGCACGCGCCACTGTTGTTCCTCAGCTCCCTTCCATCAGGACAGACAGCTTAGTAGTTAAGGGTGTTGTGCTCAGATCACGACCCCCAGAGAGAGACCACCAGAGAGGCCCAGACTGTA